CGTGGGAGCGGCCGCGCCCTCCAAGGAAAAACTCTCCAAAAAAAAAAAAAAAAAAAAAAATTATGTTCTAAAGGGACCAGTAGATGGCATACGTTGCTGGATTCTCACGTGGTCGCCCATGGTTGAGTCCTGGACCTAGGGGCTTAAAAATCACACTGAGCATGTGTGCATGCATGCCCCAAATCCCGAGAAGACAGTGGAGAAGGGACTGCGGCATGGCCATCGCCCTTGGGGGTGATTTCTGTCTCTCTCTCTCCAGTGAGTCCTGCAGCCAGGTGGGGTCACAGAGGATGTACCTGGTGTAGACCCATGACATGTGCCAGGGCCTTCTGATCGGCTTCCAGCATCACACAGCAGGCCCCTTCACCGTGTTATGAGGGGCCAAGCTGGGCCGGCAGGTGGCATGGTGGGTAAGGCACATGACTCCCACATGGCCGGTCAGCATTTGAGTCTTGGACCTGGTGGCTTGCTTTTTCACTTTACCTCTCTCTGTCTCTGTCTCTCTCTGGTGAATTAAAATAATAATGATGATGCTAAATAAAATGACATAAATAATTCTTTGTAAAAAATGGCCAATCCATGAGGGCTTAAGTAATTTTATTTCTGCAGCTCTGTGGGTTCCTAGGACATAGTCTAGTACCAGCTATCATGCTTCATCACCGCATACCCGACATCCAGCAAACACCTCAGTACCGACAGACCCAGCTCAGAACTCAGCATCTGGTTGATGAAAGGACAATGCAAAGGCTCACCCCTCAACTTTGAGTAACATTCTGGAACTCCATCAACTATTCGATAGTTATTGACTGTCTAGTATGGGTCTAGGCACATCAACAGTTAAGCACATTATACACACATACAAATCTTCCTTGCACATGTCGTAAAGATAATTCAATAAAAGGAAAATTTTAAGTGTATAAAATTAAATACATAAAGATGTTTATTCTTTCAACTGTCAACAAAAACATAGTAAGGCCCCCTGTATGCCAGATACCGTTCTAGGTGCTTGGGACACATTAGTGACTAAGTCACGCTAAGGTGCTTGCATTCCGTTTACGTCCTCGTGGGAGATGGCAATGACACGCAACACGCAGCAAGTCAGGCACAGGGAGTACCGTGTGACGGAGAGCAGCACAGCAGGGCTGGGAAGGGTCAGGCTGCAGTGCTGAGCAGTCGAGGCAGTCTCGCTGAGGACTAAAGACCCGCGGTGGTAGATGCTGGCCACACTAAAGGGCCAGCAGGCAGCGTAGCCGTTAAGGTGCTGGATTCCCACAAGGCCCCTCCGCTTCGAGGGTCAGACCTAGCAGCTTGAGAAACACGCTGGGGGCATGTATGCGCATATCCAAAATCCAGAGAGAAGAATGAGGTGGAGGGACCGCTGCATGGCCATCCTCCCCGGGGGCGGATTTCTCACCTTCCCTCTCTGTCTCTGTCTCTCTCGGGTGAGTGCATGCACCCTATAGCAAAAATTTACAGAAAAATAACAGCTAGCGGAAAGGTGGGAGTGGGTATGTCATGTTCAATGCCAAGTAAGAAGCCCAGCGTGGCTGGTGTAACACGGTAGAGTGGGATAGAAAACAGGTCAGAGAAGGACTGGGAACAGGGGCAACTGAGGAGGGTCTTACACGTGGCTACAACAACGTGGGCTTTGACTGAGTGACTTGGAGAGCCACCACAGGGTCTGAACTGCAGCGGTGGAGTGACAGGATCCGAGTTACATTTTTAGAAGACCACTCCAGCTGCTTCTGTGGAAACAGACTAACCAGAGGGAGGGTAAAGGCAGAAAAGGCAGTGAAGGTGCCTTTGACAGCAGCAATCTGGGCGGAAGCTGGCCACACAATCAACAGAATGCCCTGGTTGAGTGGAGGAGATATGAGAGAATCAGAAGTGACAGGAGAGAAGCGAGGGCTCATGACTGACCAAGGCTTTGGCCTGAGCAGGTGGGAACATGGAGTAAGACAGAGACACAGGGTTCTGGGCTGGACGCCTGTCTGTGCACCCAAGGTGTCCAATAGGCAGGTGGGTAAGCGAGGAGGGGCCGCCTGTCCCTTGCAAATGTGCACCCAGAGCAGCATCCAGGGTATGCACAACGACTAGCCCGGAACTGCACCACTGCGCTGGCTCACCTCCCACGGGCCACCTACCGTATGCTTTCAGGACGGCGGTGTGTCCACAGAGAAACGCGTACCTATGGTGCCACGACACCCCAGAAGACATCCCCCTGTAAACCTCGCTGTCGACTCACTCACGTAGAGACCCAGCCCTAGGAATGGAACTCGGCCGGTACGTGTGGAGTGCTTGTAGGCAGCCTTGTGTGATGGCGAATGCGGCAGTCGGTCGCGGACACCACAGAAAATGGGACCGAGACTGAGAAGGGGCAATCCCTGGGTAACTGGCAGAGGCGGAGCGGTCGTTAAACAGGTGGGTCGTTAAGCGAGGAGGGCCTGTGTATCCAGGGCTGCCCCTATAGTGCAGTGTTAGGTGCAGAGCACTAGGGCCCAGATCCCACATGGCTGACGGTGACTGGAATCTGGGTCCCCACAGCCTGAAAACAGGCCAGGTGTGTGCACACGTATGTCTAGAATGCTGACAGGACGGAGAGATGGAAGGAATGAGGACTGCAGCGTGACGACTCCCCACTGCAGAGACAGGGAGGGAGGGAGCAGGGACCGCGGTGTGTCCACACCCCACTGCAGAGACAGGGAGGGAGGGAGCAGGGACCGCGGTGTGTCCACACCCCACTGCAGACAAGGAGGGAGGGAGCGAGGACCGCGGTGTGTTTGTTTCCACACCCCACTGGGAAGTGCTTGTTTTCTCACTTTCTCCTTCTCTCTTCCTGGTGAGCACAGGCAATTAAAGAAAGAAGATGCGAACCCACCCCGTACCTGTACAGGTCTGCTTCTGGCTGCTGGCACTCCACCACGGCCGTGAGCGCATCCAAGTTGGCGACTGTGCGTAATGCTGCTGTTTCTGGGACTGCCACGTGTGTCTGGGGAAGAAAGAAGCTTCAGCTGCGGGTCGAGGTCCAGACAGGACCTCAGCTAGCAACGGTTTCAAACCTCTTGCAGATGAAACCATGGCAAGCAGTGCTCAGGGCCACTCGGCTAGGCAACAAAACAGAGAGGCTACCAGAACCCCAGCCGAGGCAGCTACTGGATTACCTGTCCAAGAGGCTGCTGGCACATAAGGACATCAGTCTGTAACGTGTGCTTAGTTGCTACTATTCAGAGTTCATTATAATCAATTCAACAGGAAAAAACGTGGGGTCAGCCCTGTAGCAAAATGTATAAGGAAGCTAGATTCCACATGGCGGTGGTTCAAATCCCGGCCCTGGCAGCTTGAAGAACACAACGGAGCGTGCAGGCCTTGAATTCCCGACAGAAGGCAGCAAAAGGAACTCGATGTGACCACTCCTACGAGGGTGCTCTGTCTCTGGCAGGCAAATACACATGACAGTTCCCAAAAAGGGACAAAATTGTGAATCTTCACCTTTGAGTATATGCTGAAAAACTAGAAAACTTAAACTTATCTCTTACCTTAAAAAGCAATAAAAAATAATTAAGAGACATTTTTCTGAAAAAACATTTTCATTTTTATTTTGAATGTACTAAACCATGTGATCCTATTCTCTAAATAAATATATAACTCTTTTTAAAAAGTTTTATAATTTTTGGGATCAGGAGATGGTATAATGACTACATTGCTGGACTCCCATGTAGTCGACTATGGTTCGATTCCTGGATCCAGTGGCTTAAACTCAAACCAGGCACATGTGCGTGCATGCCCAAGATCCCGAGAGGAGAAGGGATTGTGGCATGACCATCCCCCCTGGGGGGTGATTTCTCACTTTCTATCTGTCTGTCTCTGTCTTTTTGGTGAGTGCACATGCCCTATAGCAAAAACCTCTCAAAAAAAAAAAAATTCCTAATTTTTCTAGACGTTATAATAATAAGAGAAAATTCTCCTTTATTAGGTCAAACCACACTTTAACCAAAGAAAACCTTACCACAAATCACAGATTTTTTTATTTACCAAGAGCAAAACTTAAATAAACGCCTGAACAAACCTTCAAATTAGTTTCTCCATCCAAACTAGCAGTGGTAACGTGGCACGACCCATCAAGTCGGTCTGAGGACAGAAGCACCAGGTCTGCAGGGAAAATTTCATCTTTGGCTATTCGAACAATATCGCCCACCTAGGAAGAGTTCGGGAAGTGAGTGCACAGATTTGACACAGCAAGGGCTCCCTTTTACTGGGGTCTGAATAAGCGCCCTAGCATGGCATGCTGGTGGGAGGAGCAGGCTGTTAGCTGAAGTACGGTCGACCCAGAGCTACGCTCGACCCAGAGCACACCGCATCCTGGCCGCTACCAGACGCGTACCCGGATGTTCTTTGATCTCGTCTTCACAAGGCCACCGCTTCGAACGACATAAACAGGAGCTCCGTTTACTTCGTTGTCTGAGATATGTCGTAACCAATCTTCATATCCCTGTAAATACCGAAGATTAAAAAATTTATTTCTCAGTAAAACTTGAAGACGCATTTCTCAAATGAGGGGAAAACAAATCAGAAAGCTCCCCCACACGTCCTGTTCTCCAGAACTCGTCGCGGCACTCTGATGCAAACGCCCACAGGTACCTGCTCCTCTCTTCCCTCGATTCTCATCACACAGCTCCTGAGTCTCACGGGACCTCTCTGGTCACTCCTTGTTCTCCTCCTGAAAGGCTCTTGCATGTCACCTCTCTGGGTCCCTTCCTCATACCTCACTCTCACTAGATTTCTTTTGTTCTTCCATCTTCGAATTATATAAACAAGGTGAGCCTGTGGCAGGGTGGGGTTAGGGCGGACGGACCCCACTTCCTGGTTTGAGTCCAGGATCTGGGGCTTGGGAAGGACACCGGGAGTAGGTGCATGCAAGGCCCAAGCCCGGAAAGAAGAGAGGAAAGAGGCAGGGGCTGTGGTGTGACCGTTCCCCACGGGCGAGGCGTTCACTCTGGTTCTCCCCATCCCCTCCCCTGCCCACCAGGCCGGCACACGAGCTCTCAGGCAACAGTAAAAAAAAATTGTATAGGAGCCTGGCAGGTGGCATGGTGGTTAAGGATGCTGGAGTACCACATGGCTGAGTGCAGTTCGAGTCCCGGACCTGGCAGCTTGCTATTTTGCTTTTTTTCTCTCTTGCTCTGTCCCTCTCCAGTTAAATTAAAAATAATGAAATAAAGTTAAATAAAATAATTCTTTTTAAAAAACTGGATAAACATGTTGGTAATTCTGAAATTTTTATCTGTGGTTCATATTTTTCTTCTTGACTCCAAATCTGAATACAGAACTACGTTATTAAGGGAACCAGCAGTTAGCGTAATGGCTATGTCGCTGGACTCCCACGTAGTCGACCGTGGTTCGCGTCCCGGACCCGGTGGCTTAAAACTCACGCCGGGCGCGTGTGCGTGCATGCCCAAGATCCCGAGAGGAGAATGGAGGAGAGGGGATTGCGGCGTGACCATCCCCCTTGGGGGGTGATTTCTCGCTTTCTGTCTCTATGTCTCTCTCTGTCTGTCTGGCGAGCGCACGCGCCCTACAGTGAAAATCTCTCCCAAAGATCGTTATTAATATCTCCATTTTCATAGCTCGTAAATATTTTAAACACATTTAAAACTAAATTGATGATGTCACCCCTCCCCCAAAGCTGTTCCATTTCCAATGTTCTCCATCTCGACAAATGACATCAGCATCTAACTCATGCCAGAAATTTGGGGAGTTGTTTCTGAGTCTCACCTTTTCCTATTACCTGGTCAATCAGTAAGTTCTATTGCTTCTACGTGCAGATGGTATTTTTCATCATAAAGTGTCAATTCACAGAACATGATTACACACAAATAGCAAAAAACAGCTAGAAACTGAGGTTCAGTCTTTCACTTTTTAAATAACAGACCAACAGAATTAATTACAATTAGTATTTTACAAGATAGCGGGGTTGTATAGATCATCGTTAAGTGAAACAGATGCAAATCAGTCATATGGAATACTTTGATTAAATGTTAGTGACTGAATTATTTTCTTAGTGCAAAGGACTTGCTGTAGTATTTTAAGAAAATTCACAAACTCCGAGCACAGTGCAAGTACGGCGAGTGACCCAAGAGCCAGTGCTGAGTGAGAAGGGGCAGGTGCAGAACAGGCTGTTGTCCCTGCTGTCAGCAGCGACAAGATACGGCTCCATGGAACTCTGCACAGAGAAGAGACCAGGGCTCATCCACAAACAACTGCCTCTCTGGGGAGGGGCTACAGTACCGCCGCCGCCCACCTCGAGACTGGGGCTTAGCACTGGAAGACTCTTCCTTTATTCTAGTTTGGACCGTTTCCATTTTTAAAAAAATGTGCATGTACTATTTAAAAATATTATTAAACATATTATTAAAAACAAAAAAATTATATAAAATATAAAGTAAAATATTAATGACTGCTAAGAAGGTCTATTTTTTCAGAGGGAAACTTTTAAGGAAAGCACTTTTAAAATACCTAAATTATGTTAGCCCAGTCAAGCTGTAATATGTCAATTTTAGAGAAATCTAATTGAAAGTTAAAACATCTATTCTGAAACTGTCAAAACACATACTTTCTTTAATAGTCGGATGACATTAACAGCAGAGGAAGAATAAAGATGTTATCTTTTTTTAACTAAGCTCGGAAGTTCTAACTCATCCTACTGCCAGGCCCACCTTCCCAGAACACCGTATGAATTCACTCCCCTACTCAAACCCACTTCAACAGGCTCTTAACTCTTAGAGCAAAAAGTCTCCCGCTCTCTTAATTTAGCACCAGCCTGAATTTCTACTGTAAGCCCGTATTGTTTTACTATATAGCAAACGTGTCAGACTTAAAATGCCCCCAAGTCAGCCTTGCCTTTACTCGCATTTAGGTCCTTGTCCAAGTTACCTCTGTCAGCTGCATTTGCCCATATTCTAAGATTCATCTTATTATTATTTTTTTTGGAGAGGTTTTTGATATGTGCTTGCCAGAAAGAGAGACAAAAAAACGAGAAATCACCCCCTTAATTGCCAGAAAGAGAGACAAAAAACGAGAAATCACCCCCCCGGGGGGATGGCCATGCCACAATCCCTTCTCCTCCATTCTCCTCTCGGGATCTTGGGCACGCACGCACACGCGCCTGGCGTGAGTTTAAGCCACCGGGTCCAGGATTCGAACTAGTCGGCTACATGGGAGTCCGGTGACATAGCCATTACGCCAACTGCTGGTCCCTCTGAGATCCATCTTAATAACCCGTCCCTCATGAGACCTCCCCTGATCATCTGGATGAAGTACTCCACCCCTTCTCTAAACAGCTATCCCTCGCTGGATCCTACTACTACTCGATGAAAAACAACTGTTTTTGTATATGTGGCCTTACCTTCCTACATCATAGGCCTTAGACTCATGGAGGGCCAACACCATCTTTCTTACCAGACTCCCACTCCTTCATTACACAACTGGAGGGGAGACTTAAAATGCACATACGGTTGGGCGAAGTTAAAGAACAAAATGATAAACTAATTCATATTCAGATGTAAATAATAATAAAGCTTTTTCCTGTTTTGATAAAAGGCGACGCAGACTAGTAAAGGGAGAGAAGGGGGTGTTGGGCCATGGCGACTTCCATGTAAGCTCTCCTTGGGTCCGTTCTGTTGATGCCCAGGGATGGATACAGAGGCCTGAGGAACACCTGGGAGTATTCTGTTTGGCATCATGGCTAAGGAGGCTGAAAATACAAACTCGCCAGCATGTTGTTCAACAGCTAGTGGTGGTTCCGATTAATTGCAGTACATACTTGGTCAAATATATACAGAAAGAAAAGGGCAAGAGTGTTGTAACATTTTACACTGCTTTTAAATATATTCGATAGATTCATTCATTCATTGACTTGTTCATCTACTAAATAGGTATCAGTTGAAGACCCGATGCACGTGTGGCTTTGTTCCTGGAAGTAAACCAGTATATAAAACACAGCCTCTCCCTGTACAGCTGAGCAGAAGTAGCAGGCATTTGTTCAACAGAAAACAGGTAGAAGCAAATGACATGGAGAAAAAGCTAGAGCAGGAAATGAGTGGCACGGTGACCAGAAGCCAGTTTAAGTACCTACGTAAAATGAAGGCTTGAGCTAAGCAGTTACCCGGTGGAAAAACTCCGGGAAGAGAGGACAGCAAGTCCAGAGCGTTCAGAGAGGAGACGCTGGACTGAAGAACAAGGACAGACATGTGGCTGGGGCACCCAACACGGGAAGAGGGTGGGAAAAAAGCAAAAGACAGGACCGGGAGGGGGCTGTGGACGTCTCTGTAAACCACTGGTCCACGTGTGACGAGAACCTACCAAGCAGGATAAGAGCTCGGCCTGGCTACCGTGTGAAAACGAGAAGGGGGACGTGAGAGCACCATTAGGAGGTAACGGACGGTCGGATGGTCGCTCATCCACAAACAACTGCCTCTCTGGGGAGGGGCTACAGTACCGCCGCCGCCCACCTCGAGACTGGGGCTTAGCACTGGAAGACTCTTCCTTTATTCTAGTTTGGACCGTTTCCATTTTTAAAAAAATGTGCATGTACTATTTAAAAATATTATTAAACATATTATTAAAAACAAAAAAATTATATAAAATATAAAGTAAAATATTAATGACTGCTAAGAAGGTCTATTTTTTCAGAGGGAAACCTTTTAGGAAAGCACTTTTAAAATACCTAAATTATGTTAGCCCAGTCAAGCTGTAATATGTCAATTTTAGAGAAATCTAATTGAAAGTTAAAACATCTATTCTGAAACTGTCAAAACACATACTTTCTTTAATAGTCGGATGACATTAACAGCAGAGGAAGAATAAAGATGTTATCTTTTTTTAACTAAGCTCGGAAGTTCTAACTCATCCTACTGCCAGGCCCACCTTCCCAGAACACCGTATGAATTCACTCCCCTACTCAAACCCACTTCAACAGGCTCTTAACTCTTAGAGCAAAAAGTCTCCCGCTCTCTTAATTTAGCACCAGCCTGAATTTCTACTGTAAGCCCGTATTGTTTTACTATATAGCAAACGTGTCAGACTTAAAATGCCCCCAAGTCAGCCTTGCCTTTACTCGCATTTAGGTCCTTGTCCAAGTTACCTCTGTCAGCTGCATTTGCCCATATTCTAAGATTCATCTTATTATTATTTTTTTTGGAGAGGTTTTTGATATGTGCTTGCCAGAAAGAGAGACAAAAAAACGAGAAATCACCCCCCCGGGGGGATGGCCATGCCACAATCCCTTCTCCTCCATTCTCCTCTCGGGATCTTGGGCACGCACGCACACGCGCCTGGCGTGAGTTTAAGCCACCGGGTCCAGGATTCGAACTAGTCGGCTACATGGGAGTCCGGTGACATAGCCATTACGCCAACTGCTGGTCCCTCTGAGATCCATCTTAATAACCCGTCCCTCATGAGACCTCCCCTGATCATCTGGATGAAGTACTCCACCCCTTCTCTAAACAGCTATCCCTCGCTGGATCCTACTACTACTCGATGAAAAACAACTGTTTTTGTATATGTGGCCTTACCTTCCTACATCATAGGCCTTAGACTCATGGAGGGCCAACACCATCTTTCTTACCAGACTCCCACTCCTTCATTACACAACTGGAGGGGAGACTTAAAATGCACATACGGTTGGGCGAAGTTAAAGAACAAAATGATAAACTAATTCATATTCAGATGTAAATAATAATAAAGCTTTTTCCTGTTTTGATAAAAGGCGACGCAGACTAGTAAAGGGAGAGAAGGGGGTGTTGGGCCATGGCGACTTCCATGTAAGCTCTCCTTGGGTCCGTTCTGTTGATGCCCAGGGATGGATACAGAGGCCTGAGGAACACCTGGGAGTATTCTGTTTGGCATCATGGCTAAGGAGGCTGAAAATACAAACTCGCCAGCATGTTGTTCAACAGCTAGTGGTGGTTCCGATTAATTGCAGTACATACTTGGTCAAATATATACAGAAAGAAAAGGGCAAGAGTGTTGTAACATTTTACACTGCTTTTAAATATATTCGATAGATTCATTCATTCATTGACTTGTTCATCTACTAAATAGGTATCAGTTGAAGACCCGATGCACGTGTGGCTTTGTTCCTGGAAGTAAACCAGTATATAAAACACAGCCTCTCCCTGTACAGCTGAGCAGAAGTAGCAGGCATTTGTTCAACAGAAAACAGGTAGAAGCAAATGACATGGAGAAAAAGCTAGAGCAGGAAATGAGTGGCACGGTGACCAGAAGCCAGTTTAAGTACCTACGTAAAATGAAGGCTTGAGCTAAGCAGTTACCCGGTGGAAAAACTCCGGGAAGAGAGGACAGCAAGTCCAGAGCGTTCAGAGAGGAGACGCTGGACTGAAGAACAAGGACAGACATGTGGCTGGGGCACCCAACACGGGAAGAGGGTGGGAAAAAAGCAAAAGACAGGACCGGGAGGGGGCTGTGGACGTCTCTGTAAACCACTGGTCCACGTGTGACGAGAACCTACCAAGCAGGATAAGAGCTCGGCCTGGCTACCGTGTGAAAACGAGAAGGGGGACGTGAGAGCACCATTAGGAGGTAACGGACGGTCGGATGGTCGCGGCCAGCGAGGCCGGGGGCAACTGGGACTAGTTAAGGTGGTCGCGGCCAGTGAGACCGAGGGCAACTGGGACTAGTTAAGGTGGTCGCGGCCAGTGAGACTGAGGGCAACTGGGACTAGTTAAGGTGGTCGCGGCCAGCGAGGCCGGGGGCAACTGGGACTAGTTAAGGTGGTGGCGGCCAGCGAGACTAGTTAAGTCCAAGTTTGAGATCCTTGTGATGCCCAAGTAAAAGCGCTGTGAAATGCTGCATGAGTGCATCTGGACTTCAGAGACTGGCTTCTAGGTGAATAGAACCTGAGAACCGTGGACACACAGGGCGCTCTGAGCCACTGAACCGGAGGAAATCAACTAAGGGGGCAGTTCCCGCCTTAGGGCGGTCTGGCTTAGAGTATTTCAGCTTAATGAGGAGTGCACCAGAAGGTAAGGCCATCGTTAATCAAGGGGCATCGGAACTTAAGATGGCTCGATTTATGACTTTTCACCTTTATGATGGGCTTATTAGGATAGGATATTAAATGCACCTTTGACTTAGGATATTGACGACTTACGCTGGGTTTATTGGGGTGTAATCCCAGCATGAGTCAAGTAGCAACTACAGAAAAGCGGTCCAAGGGCCCATGGGTTACTCTGAGGACAGAAATAACACCTGGGAAAACAAGTCAATGTGGAATTGATGAAGTCGTGTGGATACTTAATGACTCACGGACAGGAAGTTCTCATCTCCAACAGAAGAGTAAAGAAAGGGAAACCAAATTGACAGAACTGTGCCGCAGTGACCTCTGACACCAGATGCTCATTTCACTGTTGCTCTCTAGGTTCCGCTTACCCTTCTTCTTTAAGTAACAAAGAAGATACTTCATCCCAGAATTATAAGATGCTTGTTAATTTTATTTCCTTGTCCCTATAGCTTACAGAATGGAAACGTATCACATTATACAAGGCGATTCACTTCTCTCTCCGTGGAACAGACCGGCTCTGTGTAACAGACCCGCCACGGTTTTGAGAAGTGGTAGCTATGGACACGCGCCATTCCTATGAATTCCTTCATCTGTTGTTCAGTGTATTCATCGAATACTCTTGTTTCTCTGTATCTAAATTTCAACATCAATTCACAATTTGGTGGAAGCCATTCCCTTAGGATACTACTGTATTTAAAAACTAACTTCAATAAATTACATGTAAAAAGGAGGAAAGCTCTATATGATTTTTATTCACTAATGTTTGTGCTGAAAGTACATGCTCCAATTCTTACAAACATTATCACTTTCAAACTGTATTTCCTTTCATCGTCACCATGCTCCACAAGGATGATTTAAATAGTCTGTTCCATATATAGATTGGTTTGTACACTTATAATACTTGTTTCTGTACGCTTCCTGGGTGTGTCAGAGAGGTGACATATTTTAACAATACTATTCCTTCCATGAGTCACCAGTTACTGAAATATAACAGAGTAGCTAATGCAGTTGAATTTACCATACATGAAACACATTTGTTGCTTTCTTATGGAATTTATTCTCATAACAATGAATGATACTTTGTAGTGGAAATATTTAGTAACTGCTGAAGGGCTTGGGGAAACCACAATAATGAAGTATCTCATACCTGCTTTATGGCGGTTACTGTGATCACAAAAAATAATGGAAGTCCACTGGTAATCGGACTGGTTGGTGTGTCAATCATAAGCTAGATGTAAGAAAAGAATGCAGTGTTATATTTGAATTTTGTACACATCACGCAGTTAACATCTAAAATCTCATACTAATCACACGGTAAGTACAGTTTTGTTCAAGTTTCACAAGGTCATTTTGTTGGTGGTCACATGGGGTAGCAGAACTCGGGGTTGAGCTATCGTACCCAGACACCCCCAGAGTGGACTCGGTCTCTCACGCAGGGCACCCAGGCGCCTCCTCAGCATGTGCCTCGGAGAGGAGTCACAGCTGCTCCGCTCTCCTTCACATTTCTGTGCAAGTCGTGATGAATGCTGAAGTCTGTCAACAACTTCTACCCTGGGATTCAGAATAAACTCAACACTAGGGAGCGTGAACGAGGACTGGCACTACGGAAGAGGTTTTTTCTACAAGTGACTTTGCTATATCCAACAGAGCCAGTGAGAATAGCTAGGAAAAATGAGGTTGCAGTTCCGATCTGAATCACAGTTGGGGTTTGCAGGAGAAGTAAAGAAATATTCGCAGTAATTGCCTAAGACTCGTGAGGACACATATCCACTACTTCTTAATGTCCCCTCAGTCTGGATAGGCCCATCAAAATCGTTCCATTCCACAGACAAGCTAAATTCCTGATCTCAGTTAGTACTTTCACAAATGCATGTTTCACATGTTACGTGAATGAGGTTAGGAGAAACGTCTTGCTTTTCCAAGAAAATCAAACTGATGCTCTATTGACAAAAAAAATCAGAATTTCCTTCTCTGATCATGAAGAATAGTATTTTTTATAAGTACATGTTTCCTAAAACTTTAAAATTACTTGAAATTTTTAATTTTTCTTTTGAAATCTTAGGTTCTACTAAGAAAACAGTTCATTTTATAGAAAAATTCAGTGTCACATTAAAATTGTTAAAGTTTTATCAGAGAAGAATCACTGTGTTAAAGGAAAATGACAATCATAGTTTTAAAATCTTGACTTATATTCAAATTTTATGGTCTGTTCTCTTGATATTTTGCTATGTACACATATATATATATACATAATGTAAAAATTAATAAACTATCAAAATAGCCTATAATGAATAGATTTGAGCTAAGAAAATGGTCTCTTAAAGAGTCTATATTCAGGGGACCAGCAGGTGGTGTGGTGGTTAAGGCGCTGGACAATCCCACATGGCCGACCATGGTTCAAGTCCTGGACCTGGTGGCTTGCTTTCTCACTTTCCCTCTCTCTCTCTTTCTGGTCAAATTAAAATAAATGAATGAATTAATAAAATTGAATAAATAATTCTTTTTGAAAAAAGGAGAATCTATACTCACATGCTTAAAAATTGAAATTAAAAAAAATTAAATTAAAATAAAAAAAATAAAGCCAAATAAAATAATTTTTTGTACAAAGATGGTCCAAAAAGAAGAATGTGCCCAAAACATGCACTGTACAACATTGAAAACAAAATAATGTCATTTTGAGGCAGATGGTCTGAAAGGGGCCATTTTTGGCTGAGGTTATCAGCACTGTAGCAAATGAGGGAGGGGATGAAATAGCACCGAGTCCTGAGTCCACAGGCTAGGTGTGATCCCGCCCTGTACTCACTGGACACGGTGAACACAGTACCAAAGGCGTGCAGGAAACATGAGTCCATGGACAGATGGTTAAGAACACAGTACGTTTCCCTGTTCAAAGACACACTTTTAGAATTCATGTTTACACACTTAATCTACTGAATGAAAAAGCTTACCTGAACCAAAAATATAATAAGAAAATAAAAGTTTGCCACTCTTCTGAATTGTTCAAATAAATTTTTTGGAACAAAATTCCACACAGTATACTAAAAAACAAACAAAAAAAAAAGTAGAGAGATCAATAAATTAATATTTTGAAATAACATATATTAAATAGATGTAACAATTAAGAAAAGTAAAATCAGATTTACTATGCTTAGACAAATCCTGTAGCCCTTAGTGTTACAAACTACTTATCCGATTTCCAGATTCAAGACTTTTATTCTACTCCTTTGTATTAGTTTGCTGTTTACTAGCAATTTTGGCATATTTTTAAAAATGTGCCAGAGGGCACATGTACTCCGGCCCCCGCCCCCACACCCAGCCAAGGGGAATGGCCACACTGCAATCCCTTCTCCTCTCTCTCTTTTTCTGGACTTTGGACATGGGTGCACAAGAGCACAGAGACAAAGTGAGATGACTACACCACAATCCCATCTCCTCCACTGTCCTGTCAGGATTTTGGGCGCACGCGTGCACACACACACACACACACACACACGCACGGGCCAGCATAATTTTAAAGTTGCCGGGTCTGGGACCTGAACTGCGGTCAGCCACGTGGGGGACGAGCGCCTTAACCACCACGCCCCCTGCTGGTGCCTGAATGTGGATGTTTTGCAAGTTGCCAGATCTAAAACTGCAACCACACAGTCAGCTATATGAGATCCAGCTTCCATAAACACCAGGCCACAGGCCGGCCCAATCCTGGCATATGTATTTTTTTAATGAGATAAACTGGAACCTGCCAATGTTCCCATTAAATTCTATTAAATAGAAACTTAATAATTTTGAAAGGCAGATCTAAAAGAACACTTGTATAAAGTTTAAACTTTGGTTATACAAAACTAAACCTAACGCTAAAAATGAGTGCTGATACAAATGCCGTTAGTACATACGATTTATTTTACATTTTACTTAGTTCAGCGTCAGAGGAAACAGTCTAATTATTCAATTATTATTTGTTTCATATAAAATACAGAAAAATAATCTAGAGTGCTAAAACGCCGTAGATAAGTAATCATGGGATAACCACAAAGAAAATTTCATGAAGACATGAACATCTGTCATGGTGTGGATTTCACAAGGAGAGACAGCAGAGTACAACGGCCAAGAGAACCGCTACTGGGGTTAAACTGCAGCGGCTCAGCAACTAACTGCCACACCTACCACGCAACCTGGGCCTGAGCTCCTGACTGCCACCCCTGCCACATGACCTTGGCCTGTCTTGGTGGCCCACTTTGTCCCCTATAAAATAATGACAACAGCAGTCACACTTCACAGGGTGCTTCCGAGGATGACATGAGCTAAGGTAGTTAGGAGGCGCCAGGGACCGGCCTGGCTCCCAGTGTAAGAAACCAAAACACGACTATAAAATGCCATTTTGCAAGGAAGTTTAATCTAAGGTAAGGCAGCCACTATGATCAATCTCATTAAACAAAGACACGCACTTCTACAGTGTGTAAGACACCTGCACCAGGGAAACAAAGGCAGTTGTCCAGCGTCAAACAGAGGGCGTTCTGGGCCCAACGCCAACAACCGCACTGCTGGATTCAAAGGCAGTCGGTGAGCCGGGCCGCTGGGCCGGGGGAAGGCCTCCCGAGTAGCTGTGGCCCCAGGGAGGCTCCAGTGGCCTGGCTCGCCGAGGCAGGCCAGGAAGGGTGGCATGTGGCTGTGATCCGGCAGGCTGGGAGGCTGGGCCAGGAGCACTGGGATGTGGCAGGCCTTGTCAGAAAACAACAAAACAAAACTTACCTCTCTTCCTCCCTCTCCCTCCCACACACTGTCATTAAAAAAACAGGATGAAGTAAATAAAGGAATATACAAATAACTCAAAGGAAAAACAGTTGGTAAGAAAGAAAAATTTAATACAGGAGGTTATATCTCACATGAGCTTTCGAAGAGGCCATAAAGGCCCTACAGGCAGATAAGGGAGAACATTAAAGCCTGGGGTTGACACCAAGGAATCAGAGCAAAGGAGCAATGACAGGAGAGCCCAGCAGAAGCCTGCGGATAGCAAGTCACCCCTCCAAACGGGTTTAAGGAGGCAATAGTGTTATCACAGAGACTAAGGAGAGCTAGTCCTCATCACTGTGAAAATAACAAAGGCCATCTTTATTCAAACACCTGTGTCTTTGAAACGACTGTCACAAACGTTAAACCTTGGTCCCTCTCTTGGGACCAGCGGCTGGCGTAATGGCTATGTCGCTGGACTCCAATATAGTCGACCACGGTTCAAGTCCCGGACCCGGTAGCTTAAACTCACACCAGGTACATGTGTGTGCGTGCCCAGGATCTCCAAGAGGAGAATGGAGGAGAAGGGACTTCAGCGTGGCCATCCCCCAAGGGGGAGATTTCTCGCTTTCTGTCTCTCTGGTGAGCACATGCACCCTTATAGTAAAAACATCTCCAAAAAACAAAAACAATAACAAAACAAACCTTGGCCTAGCTCCATGGCGTGGTAGTTAAGGCAGTCAAATCGCACATGGCCAGCCAAACAGTTCAAATCCAGGCGCGAGCAGTTTGAGAAACATGCATGTGTGTGTGTAACCACGCAGCACAATGCCCAAAACCCAAAACGGAGGGAAAGACAGAAGAGAGGGAATTGGAGCGTGACCACTCCTCATGGGGGTAGGTGTGATTTCTCCTTTCCACCTCTCTCTGTCTCTTCTGGAGAGTACATGTGGCCTTCAGGAAAAAAACATTAAACCCAGTACTGATACATATAAAAATAATCATTTTTTACTTAATTTGTAAGTGAGATTTTACTTAAGATTTTACTTAATTTCAAAAACTTTCCAGAAGAACACTCAGCTTCTAGTATTGTGGCAAAGGAGTTAAGTGTTCCTATAAACTCCCAACAGGTAAGAATTATAAAAAATGGATTAATAAAAACTATTTAAAAATCTGGAAAGTACCCAAAATATAGAAGGAAATTAGAAGGGGGTTTAATTTTTTTTTTTTTTTGGAGAGGTTTATGCTATAGGGCGCGTGCGCTCGCCAGACAGACAGAGACAGAGAGACAGAAAGTGAGAAATCACCCCCTGGGGGGATGGCCATGCCGCAATCCCTTCTCCTCCATTCTCCTCTTGGGATCTTGGGCATGCACGCACACGAGCCCGGCGTGAGTTTTAAGCCACCGGGTCTGGGATGCAAACTGCAGTCAAAACTGTGGTCAACTACTTGGGAGTCCAGCAACATAGCCATTACGTTAACTGCTGGTTCCCAGGGGGTTTAATTTTTTAAATGTGCAAAGAAAAGGAGTATGAATTGTGAAATTTTGGTTTCTTACTAATAGCTCGGAGACACTACACAACTCCCACTAAGGCACCGAAAAGCAGGGGAAACCAGACTTGTTGACGAGGCATGGCAAGGTTAAAGCTCAGGGCTGGAAAAGCAGCGGAGACGTTCAGAAAATGACGAGAGAGAGAGAGAAGCACACTAAGAGAAAGATCTCGGTTCAGAACAGAGACGGCCCAGATCCTGGCCGCAGCTACACCACTCCCTGGAGAGAAAGAGCCGCTGACGCTGGTGCCTGCAACACGAAGAGGCGGCTCAGAGCGTGACGGGAGGTAACGGGAGTAAGTGGGAGACTCAGCACTGTGCAACCACACCTGGCCTTACAGAAAATTTTTAAAGGACAAACTCTAGTTACAGAAAGCAGAGGGGTGACTGCGAGTGCTGGGATCAGGAGGAGGGGACTGGCTGCCACGAGGCACAGGAACGTTCTGTAGCCGGAAGTATGTTTGTGATAGACTCTCCGTGGTGAGAGCACACATCTGTGGAAACGCACTGAACTGCACATTTAAAACTGGTGAACTTGTGGCCAGCAGATGGCGTGGTGGTTAAGGGTGCTAGACTCCCACGTGGCTGACTCTGGTCTGAGTTCCAGACCTGATGGCTTGCTTTCTTAAATCCTTCCCCACTCTGTCCCTCTCTGGTCAAATTAAAATAAATAAATAAATAAAAATAATTCTTAAAAAAAAAAAAACTGGTGAATTTTCCTGTATATAAATTATACCCCCAGTTAAAAAAAATAACTTCATGTTTTCAGGCAAGACTTGCGTTTCTCGCACAACTTACGAATAGAGTGTATCCTAGCGCCCCTCCAGCATCCTAGACTCACGCATCCTCTTACTACCCTCTGCTCTAGAACCATTTTCCAAAACGGGAGCTGTCAGCAATGACCGTGGGACATAAACGATGTGAAGGTGGGGAGGGCAGGGCAGAGGAAGTGCCGACCTAAGAGCACTCTCAGCAAAGACCAGATCAGGGAGATGGGCACAAAGATATGCCACTCTAAGGGGGCGGCACTGAGTCTCCCGAAGGCGCCTACTCAGCAACAGCTGGGAACTCACCCGGCTCTTCCACTCACATCCTCCGTAACAGCACTGTCCTGTGAGGTGGCCACTGGTTACATGTGGCTACTGACACTTAAACATTTAAAATTTGAAATAAAAAATGCAACTCCTCAGTCGCACTGACCGCAGGCCAAGCCTCGGCAGCTCTGTGTGACTAGAGGCTGTCACAGCAAGAGGAAGCCCATGGGTACCATTACTCTGTACCCTCGCCTTCACAAAAACGAAGGCATCTTAAAAACGCCACAGGAAGAACGAAACGAGAAAGAGCATGTAAGAGTGAAGCCTCACTTAGAACCATGAAATATTTTAGGAGAGTGATAAAGTGGAGGAAGTAGGCCTTGAAGTCATACGGAACTGAGTTCAAATTCCAACCTAGCCACGTACTAGTATGTAAACGTGGGAAGATTATCCCGCCTCCCAGCACTTCAACTGAGGACCCTGATATTTTATGAGCGTTAACGACACTTTGTAAAACTGACTTGGGGGCCAGCAGACAGCATAGCGGCTATGCCACTGGACTCCCATGCTGCTGACCGCGGTTCGAGTACCTGACCAGGTGGTTTGAAACTCATGCCAGGCATATGCATGGTGCCCAAGATCCTGGGAGGAGAATGGAAGAGAAGGGACTGTGGCATGGCCATCGCCCTTGAGGGGTGATTTTTCACTCTCCTTCTCCCTCTCACTGTCTCTGTCTCTCTCTGGCAAGCAAATGTGCCCTAAGGCAAAAAAAAAATCTAAAGAAAGAAAACTGGACTTAATAGCAGGTATCTCGTAGGTAGTCATAGGTGTAAATGAGACAGTCTCTAAGGTGCTCGAGACAGTACCTGGCACAAATAGATATTATAACACCTACTGACACATATTATAATACATACAAACACATATCATAATACATACAAACACACATAAACGCTCGCCCCTCAGTTGAACTGGGATTTCCCGGCGTGCCGGTTACCTGATGGCAGCCCTGGCAACTCCTTTATTTCATAGCTCACCACTTCGGTTACGGTAAACCTATCGACTGCCCCTTTCTTGAGTTTGTAAAGACGTAAACATATACTTGAACGTTCGCAATAAATCACTTTTCACAGTAAAACGGGACTCAGCCCCGGTTTGGTGCTAAGTGTTACCCTTACCTTAGATGAGACGATCCTGTTATCTACGAATTTCTGAGGCGTGTAAAGGCCGTTCTGAGGAAACCTGTTGGCTATGTAAATAGTCCTGGTGTCACTCTGATGCGGTGGGTCAAAACCCTAAGAGCAAGCAAAAGCAGAAGTCGTTAACGATAAGTGAGGTCAGCCAGTGTGCCTTCCAGTGGGTTCTATTTGCCAGATTACATCCATTTTTACTGGCCTGAAACTGCACATAGACTCAATCTATTTTCTTCTTTCACAGGTAAGAAGGCACATTAGCTTCCGATGTAAGCTAATTAGGTTAGACCTCTGGTCATGAAAAAGTGCACGCACTGTCAGAAATGCTACTGCAAGGAGATCAAATTATGGGGGCCACGGAAGCATGTGAGGAAAGGCTTCTTCCTCCACCGCATTGCTTCCCTTTCATTCCTGTGGGTTCCTTGCCGTTCCTTAGGGTGGATTTCTACTCAGTGATATGAAGTCCTCTGTAGTGATGGCCCAGTAAGTACCTGCCATGTCCGGTGTGGCTTATATTTAGTTTTACTTTTTCCACGCCCAGATTAACTTGTTCCCAGAGAAATTAAAGTGCATGGGTAGGGCCTTGCCCAGATTTAATCCATACAACCATTTATTTGTGCAGATTACAACATCAACTGCCTTCCTGAATAGAGACACGAACATGCGATAATTCCTGGAGGAACCATATTCTGGCCCCAGATTTAGAAAGCCGTCTCTAAAGGTCCATTACTGATCCTGACATGGATACTGAACTTGAGCTGGGAAATTTTGCTTTCCTGGACCAATAATGAAGATATTTTACTGAGACTCCCCCCTCCAAAATCATTCCTAGTGGCCTCTATGCACTAAGTGTCTAGACGGGTCCAAGTGAACAGGATGCAAACACCTGAGTACCATTAGGGTCAGAACATCCCTCTATTTCCACTGAATCTGATGCACAAAAAGTGAGAAAACAGAACAGCAGATTGCAGATCACCTCCTCCTGCACGCCTCTGAACACTCAGATTGAACTTCAAGAATTAGGAAGAAATGCACCATCCATCAGATGACTAGAATTCAACGCAGAGTCACAAGAAGTATGGGAAAGCAAGAAAACACCTCTTCTCCAAGGGAAAAGAGTAACTCTTCTTCATCCTCAGACAGTATAGTGAAACTCATGAAAATGTCTGATAAAGAATTTAGAATATTCATAGTGGCAAAGCTAACAGAGATGGAAGAGAAGAGAGACAATGAACTGCAGAAGAGGCAGGAGAAAGGAGCTGATGAGTTCCAGGAGGTAAGACAACCCTTGCAAAATCTAAAAGAGGAAATACACACTATTAAAAAAAAAAATCAAATGGGAACCAGCAGTTAGCGAAATGGCTGTCGCTGGACTCCCACGTAGTCGACCGCAATTCGCGTCCCGGACCCGGTGGCTTAAAACTCAAGCCGGGCACGTGTGCGTGCGTGCCCAAGATCCCAAGAGGAGAATGGAGGAGAAGGGATTGCGGCGTGACCATCCCCCCTGGGGGGTGA